AGGCGGCGCGGGGCTGCTGGGCGCCGCGTCGTCCTGTGTCGGTGGGTGACAGGAGTATCTGCCCAGCTGTGTGGCCCGGGCCTGTGGACGGTCCTTTTGTCCAGCACGCGTATTAAGCACCTACTGCATTCTGGTCCTGGACCTAAGGGACAGGCGCGTGTCCAATCCTCGTGGAACCTTGACGGCTCGTGAATGCGGGAAGGAATAAGGATGTGACTGCTGAGTGACTGAAACACAGGGTTCTCTGAAAGTGGCGGGGCGTCTTGCCTTGGATAAGGTGTCCGGGCAGGCGGCGACGTTGAAACCAGTCTTTGAAGGCGAGGATAATGTCTTCCTGAACAAACGGCACTTTGAGTGGAAAGAGGGAAAGGCTGGTGCTGGAGCCAAGGGGGTGGAGTGGGGCGGAGACCCCACGGAGGTCAGGGTTTCCAGAATGAAGGGCCACGCTGGAGTAAAAGAACTGTTGGGGTGGCCCCCTGCCGGCCCAGCAGTCTCTTAAATTGACCCTGGCACAGAACTCTTGAGTGGGCCTCGTCTGGGGCGTGGAAGGACGCGTCTTTACCTTCCGCTGCCACAGGAGTAGCTGTGATGCTCTGGGCACCCTAAGTTGGTAGGTGGGCTGGCTCAAAATGCAGTTTGATCATTCCTGTGCCCAGCCCTGTGGACAGAGTGTCCCCTGAGAAAAGCGCCTTCTCATGGCGCGCGTGGCACACAAACTCAGAGTACTTTTCCTGCGTCACTTCTGCAGGGCTATGTTCTGGCCCCGTGCCAGCCCGGGGCTGCCCTCCAGGCCCGGTCTCCATTTCTTCACCTAGCGGTGGGGATGCTGTGGGGTTCATGGGAGCCTGGGCAGGGTGAGCACTCAACCACCAGTCCCTTCTCATCCTCGTTGGGCCCCGACAGCTGCCCCCTGGCGAATTCAGTTGGGGACCAGCTACCTGGGCTTTGTTTCTGGGAAGCTGAGTGAGGCTGCAGGGTAAAGATTACCAAAAAGAATGCTTCCAACGTGTCATATGCTAGTATCGGCTTTTCGGGGACCGCAAGCAGGAAACGCTGGCCTGAGCATGTCAAGCCCTGGCCCTGTGCCGATAATTTTAAGACGACATGTATGTATGTGTTTGAAGTGGGTGGCAGCAGGACACCGATGTGCAGTACAGGCATCGGAGGGAGACAAGTCCCCAGCTCCTCACCTCGCTGACTCGGAGCCTCGCCTTCCCACTCCTGCGCCCAGCTGCAAGAGGCCTGGAGACACCCACATCGGTGTGTACGTGGAGGTGGGGAAGCACGCGGGGTACTGGAGTCGCCCCGGGGGAGGATGCAGGGGCCTGACTGGTCGCCTGGACCAGAGTGCCAGGGGCTGGGACAGAGGTAGAACTGACAGGCCGTGGTGTGAGGCAGGAACTTGGTTGCCACTGGCTGGGCCTGGCATGGGTGCAGGTTCCCCTTCCTGCCAGTAGGACAGGCTGGTGTCTGAGTGGAGCTGAACTATCCAGGAGTCAGGCCGGAAAGCCTCAGAGTAGGATTGGGGCTGTGGAGCCCCCCCAGGGAAGGCAGAGGGCGCCTCCCCGCGTGGCTGTTCTCGTGGACTAGGACGTCTCTGTTGCTTGGTGCTGCTGGTGACACTGCAGATACAGAAGGCTCTGCTGCGCAGCACGGGTCCAGGCCACGCCGGCAGCGGCCCAGAGAAAGATGCGCGGGCGGCAGAGCCGGGCCCCATGCACACCTCACGCCTGCTCGCTGCGTTCTCACGTCCCGTAGAAGGACATTTCTTGAGCGCTCGGTGTACATCTGTGAGCTCCTCTCTGTGTGACTGCCGTGGGGTGATGTGGGCAAAGGGCCCCCTGAGGCGGTGTCCGGAGAATGCGAAGGCGTTGTGGACGGCAGAGCCAGGGGCGGGGCCAACCCTTCCCAGAACCCTCTGCGTGCCCAGTGTCACAGGCCCTGACACCTTGGTGGGCAAAGCTCTGCCAGGCCACCTCCTCTCCTTCATTCAGGGCCCTCTAGCCAGGAGTGTCCCGGGTGGGAGCTGCTGCCAGCTTCCCTGTGCTGGCACCACAAAAACTGCCCTCCCGGCTCCGTGGAGGCCGAGAAGCCTGCAGCCCACAGGGCCTGCACACGGCTTGGTGCGCCGGGTTCTGGGCTGGGCGTGTGGCAGAGGAAGGGTCACATCTAACCAGGACCACCTCAGCTGCGTCACTGCCTTCCTGGTGGCCAGGCAGAGCGTGGTCCCCTTGGGGCCTCCCAAACCAGGGGCCCCCGAGAACCCAAGGCAGCTCGGCGGGGCAGTGCCCTCTGAGGGGAGAGGTCTCGCTGAGCCTGGTGGATGAGGCAGGGCCGTGGTGGGGGCAGCCCCCGGCTCTTTGCCCTGCAGGTGAGCAGGACCCTCAAGGCTACTCCTGGTCCTTGGCCTGGTGTTGGCAAGTTTTCCTCCCTGTGCTCTGAGCTGTGACTGTTGCCGCCTGGAGGGACTGGGTGACGAGGGTCCCTGCTGGAGAGCACAGGCTGGTGTGTCCGCCAGGGAAGGGCTCCACTCCAGCTCGCCTTTCTGCCAAGAGGGACCGGCTCGGGCAGGTCCTCAGGGAACGCAGGGATGAGGGAGTCGAGGAGGTAGAGGTGGACTTCTGCATCGGAGCTGCTGGGGGCTGTCCGCTGTCCCTGGAGACCTAGCAGCAGGGCACGGGGAGCTGGTAGTGTCCCTGTGGGTGCCGCTGGCCTCTCAACATCGGCTTCACACCTGGGTGTTGCTCTACTGCCCTCAGCTGTGGCCAGTCTCCCCGGTGAAGCTCGCGGGTGGGAGTGGCTTGTTGCTGTGTCCCTGGAGGGCCCTTCCCCCCAGAGCCATGCCCATAGCCCCTCTGGGTACTGTGCCTCCTAAGAAGCCTTCACGGTGGGTGTTGCTCCTGCAGGGAGCCGCCCAGGACCCCCTGCATGCTCCCGAGGGCCCGCTGCCTCCCCTTGGTACCAGCTTGTCTGCCCCTCGGCACCGCGTGCATCCCTGTCCGTCAGTGACTTGGTGTCAGGCAAGGACCTGGGTGGCCAGGTTCCCGCCGGAGCAGGGGGACTCCAGGTGCTGAGCAGCAGAGGGGGCGGCGGGGCGGGGCGGGCGGGCAGGTCTTGTCCCCTGTGCTCAGCAGGCAGAGTCTGCATGTGGCCTCACTTCCTGGGCTGTTACCTCTTGTGGATTTGTGGTGTGGCACCGAGTGTCCGTGGCCTGTTTTTCCCTGGCATTTTACACATACCAGGGAGACTTTGCCCCTCAGAGCCCTTTGGTAGCGCTGTGTCCCAGCATGGGCACCAGGGCTGGCTGGACGCCAAGACCCCTGGAGTGGTCCTTATCATCCTGCACCTTGTCTGGCAGTCTGGACCCAGTGGCAGCGCGGGGAGCGGGGATGGGTAGGGATCCCCTCCACAGCTCCGGGTGGACCGTGGGGGCGCTCAGGGTGCCGGCTCACCTGTCCCCGGTTGCCTTGGCATGAGCGAGGAACAGGTGGGCGGGGTGTTCAGGTTGTGCCTCCCAGGAACTGCCTGTTTCAAGTGATGATCGAGCAGCGCTGCCTCCTGGGATTTGGGTGGCGGGGCTCTCTGGTGCTCACCGTCTGTCTCCTCCACCAAACGCGCCTGCACGCCTCACCAAGCAGCTTCTGGAAGGGCCCTCCAGCCTGCTCGGGCTGCCCTGTCTGACTGCCTCTAACCTTGCTGCTTTCTCTTCATGCTGTCCTAGGAGGTCAGAGTGAAAGTAAGTACCACCTGTCTCGTGCACCCTTCACCTGAGCCAGGGGACCCCCGGTGCAGCCGTCACTGCACCTGGGGGCAAGCAGCTGGGCTCGTTTTCTCTCCTGAGCTCCAGGAGCTGGACCTGCCGCTATTCCGGCTCTGGCCCCACGGCCCATTGGGTGGGGCGGCAGCAGCAAGCCGGTCCTGGTGCTTCCCTGGGCGGGGCCAGCTCCTACCTCAGCGGTGGGCTGGGTGCAGGTGCAGGCCATGGAGCTGCGGCTCAGCAGGCCCTGTGCCTTGTTCAGGGGCCTCTTAAGAAGTGGCTTCCCCTCCCCTGAACTGTGGTCCCCAAAGCTCTGAGCAGAGCCTGGTCTGTGTTGGAGCCAAGGAGCGTTTAGGCCAACAGGGTCTGGCAGGGCTTGGGCACTGGAGGGCCAGCCTGTGGGCAGGGCCAAAGGGGCCTGGCGTTAGGTCAGAGGGCACACAAGCCCCGCCTGGTCAGCCCTCAGAAACAGTGGGTGATGTCACAATGCCCTGCCTCCAGGGCACACGCTCCCGCTTCCACCACTGCCTCTGTCGTCAGCCTGGCCTTGGTGAGTGCTGCTGCCAGCCTGGGCAGGAAGGCGCTGGGGGTGGCTCCGGCTCCTCACCTGTAGCACGTGCCATTAGAGGCACCCCCCGCACCCTTCGAGTACAAGGGCAGTCTCCCCGAATGCTAGGCTGCTGTGGGACTTCACCCATGTGCCCCTTGGAGTAACGAGTCGGGTTTCGGTTTCATTTGGGGTGTTAGGAGAGACTTCCATCCCCAGGGGAGTGGAGTTGAAGATTGCCTTCCCTCCGGAGACACGTCTCCTGGGAACAGGGGCCCAGCAGGTAGATAGGCCGGTGGGTCTGCCCTCGCTTAGGCTCCGCCATGATCCACAGAGGCGGGACTGCGGGGGTGTCCCGAGGGAAAGCCGCTTAGCCCCTGGCAGGTTAGCACCTGGTGCTGGTCAGTCGGCAGGATGCTTCTGCGTTGGGGAGCAGGCCCTGGAGTCGGGTCTGTAGCTGGGAAGGAACCCCCGTGCCAATCACAGCCACCCCTCTAGACAGGCCTGCCAACTGTGAGCTCGGGGACCCTAGGCACATCCCCTGAGCAGACTGGCCCCGACTCCTCTGTCGTTGTCAAGTGGGGGCCAGCCTTTCAACAGCACCACGCCTGGGAGCAGGGTGGAGGGGCCCCTGTGCCAGCAGCAGGGTCAGGGTGTGGAAGGGAGTGAGGCCATCGCTGTCAGGCCAGCAGCCCTTGGAGCAGACGACTCAGGTCATCTCCAACGAGGAAGCTGAGGCTTATCCACCGGCCATAGGTAGCAGGTGGGGCACAGAGCCATTGTCCAAATGATGGTGCCCCTTACACCAGATGGTGCTGAAGTGAGGGGTGGGGTCCCAACGTCCTGGGGCTCGGAGATTCCCGGGGACCCCATTAGTTTAGTGCACCCAAAGGTGTGAGCTGACCGCCTCCCGGTCGGAGATGCCTGCAGCTGACCAAGGAGCTTGATTCTCAGTCAGTGCCTGAGCCACACGGCTCCTCTGTGTGCGGTCACCAGCATCCTCCCTGGTGTCTTCCCTGTGTGGCCTTGGGCTGGGCCCTCCACCCTCGGCTCCCAGCTCCCATTTCTAAGACCCTAGGCAGCTCCTCCTGAGACGTGTGGTACTCTGGATGGTGGTGTGGGTGACTCAGGCAGGGTGCACCATGATGGGTCATCCCCAGAGACAGTGCTTTCCGTAAAACCCTTGTCTCGGGCCAGGCGGCTAGACTTAGCAAACTACAGGACTTTTAGTCAGAACTTCGGGTGAGCAGGGAGTAGCTGCGGTGTAAGGGAGCCTCAGGTATTCCCCGGGGAGTGCTTTCCCTAAAGGCTGTTTGTTGGTCCGAAAGTCACGTTAACAGTGCATTCCATGTCAGACCTGGCGACCCTGCCTGGAGAGTCTGGCGGAAGTTTCTGGCCAAAGAGGTTTGGAGTCAGTGTTCTCCAGACCCCTTTGAAGAGCTTGGTGCCTGTGGGGTTGGCAGAGACAGGCCTGAGTTAAAAGAATACGTGTTTACACCCCAACGTCTGTATGTTAGTTTCCTGCCTTGCCGAGCACCCGTGGATTTGACTTGGGCCCTTGCATGTTGCGTGATGGCACCCCCATTGGGAAGCGTCCCCAGGCCCCTCTGGCACCACTGGTCAGGCCGCAGAGGGAGGGGTGGGACTCTGGCCGCGGGCTCACTGCGTTCAATCGCCTTCTTGTGCTTGCCTTTAACGCTGCGCGGAAGATGAGGAGCGGGAAGGCCTGCGCCCTGGAGACCGCCTGGGAGGACACGCAGAAGCATGGGGCGGCCGAGTGCCAGGCCGTGCGAGCCGCCGCTGCCCCGCAGCTCCTGGCCGAGGCGCCGGCCGTGAACGGGCCCGGTCAGGAGGACGCCGAGGAGGCAGAGGCCCCCGACAGCTGTACGGGCGACCCCGGGAAGAGCCACAGTGGGAGGAGGCCCCTGCAGAAGAGGAAGCGCTCCCCGAAGAGCGGGCTCGGCCAGGCGGACCTGGCCCTCGTGGGCCTCTCAGCTGACCACGTCTGGCTGGACAAGCCACTTTTCGACCAGGCCGAGAGCTCATACCGCCAGAGGCTGGCAGACGTGGCTGCTCAGGCCACCCGGCCACCTGCTCTTGGCCCCAGGGGTCCCTGTACCCACGGAAGCCAGATGGCTTGCCACCACGTCACCTGGGGTGTCTGGGTCAACAAGTCCGCCTTCGACCAGGCTGAGCGGGCATTCGTGGAGTGGTCTCAGGCTCTGCTGTTGGCCGCAGAGGGGAGCAACAGGCAGGGGGCTCCCGACACCGGCCAGCGGGCACCCGCCCCTGACCTGGCCCTCACCCACCAGCCCAGCCTACCAGCCAATGGCCAGCCCCCACTGGGCAGCCTTCAGGCGCTGGTGCGGGAGGTGTGGCTGGAGAAGCCCCGGTATGACGCTGCCGAGAGGGGCTTCTACGAGGCCCTGTTCGACGGCCACCCGCCTGGGAAGGTGCGCCTGCAGGAGCGGGCCAGCCAGGCCGAGGGCGCCAGGCGGGGCCGCAGAGATCGGCGGGGCCGCGCCACCATGGGAAGCAAGCGGGCCGGGCCTCGGCGGGTCGATGGGGAGGTCCCCCCGGCCCTGCCCTACTGGTACTTCCTGCACAAGGATGCCGAGGCCCCCTGGCTCAGCAAGCCCGCCTACGACAGTGCAGAGTGCCGCCACCATGCTGCCGAGGCCCTGCGCATGGCCTGGCGCCTCGAAGCCGCGTCTCTGGCTCAGCGACCCGGTGTCCGTTCTGGCCCATCTATGTCCAGCCTGAGACCCAAGTAGGAGAAACACGCTGGGCAGGTGCCCAGGCTGGGGCCCCCGTGTTCCCCTTCCTGCCCCTGCCCCAGGAGGGCTGTCCTCGAGACACCTGGACCCGGCTACGTTGGTTACGGGAGCGGGTTGGGCAGTGCAGCCTCCAGGGTCACTCCTCGGGGCGCCCCAAGTTCTGGGCTGTTGGGAGGGGTCGGCACAGGGCTGAGTCTGCCCCATGCAGGGTTTCCACGGCCAGGCAGCTCCTGGGGGGTAGCAAAGGCTGCTGGCCCCGAGCCCCAGTGGGGCAGGACGTGGGAGCCAGCACGCCCCTGCCTGGCCCCCGGCTTGTCCACCCCGCCTCCCTCGTCATCTGCTGTCCCCTCTGAGGTAAGGTGGGTGTGTCAGGTATGCCAGCACACGGCCAGTCAAGTGGCCCAAGTCCGGAGGACATCTGCTGGAGGGGGCACACTTGCTTTGCGCCTGGAGACCCAGGAGCCTTGCCCCAGGGTGGTTTCAGGCAGCAGCAGCAGTGGCCTCTGGAGGCCAGGGGGTAGGGGCGGGCCAGGAAAGGGGTTCCCAGCCAGCGGCACCCAGGCAGGTGGGCAGAGAGGATTGGACCCTAGGGAAGATGGCAAGAACAGCAGGGGTGGAGGGTTGGAGGGCTGGGGTACAGGTGGCTGGGCCTCAGGCTGGGCCTCAGGCTGGGCCAGCGGCGACTTAAAGCCTGGGCCCGAGTCCCGCAGGAGTCTCTCGGCTGCCCATCTGTGGAGTGATCCACTGGTTTGGCAGTTCCGCCTCGGTGTCATGGGATGGCGCGTGGGTGGAGTGTCCCTGCCAGGCAGTGGAGGGGGCGGTGGAGAGGTCTGGCTCCTCATGGGTGTCAGGGTGGAAGAGACTCGTTGGACCCACCCCCTGTCACTAAGGGGACACTGGGTGAGGTCCAGTGGTGGCCTGGGCCCGTTTCTGTCCAGTTCGGTGAGGAACAGGAGAGGCTCTGTGAGCCCCGGTCTGTGCTGCCCCCTCCCCCCGCCAGTGGGCATCTGCCAGGGCACCGATTTGCAAAAACTGGGCTGGGTGTGGCTCTCGGGTCATGGTTTGCTTGTCCAGGGCTAGAGCAGCAGTTCCCCAACTTCTGGGCTCAGGGAACCCCAAAGAGCTTTTGTCATAGCTATCCGTTTTTGCCACATTAACAATTAAATGCTAAAAGCATTTGTTGAAAGGTAGTACTGAGCTTGTTGCATGTTAACTTTGATAACATATTTTTATGACAAATAATTTTCCCGTAAGAAAAATTCAGGGAGTGAGTGGCCTTGTTCTACGTGTTGGGACTCTAGTGTCGGCTTGGTAGGAGGCAGTGGGTTCTCACCCCTGCTTCTGTGTGCAGACTGTGGGTGTGTGTTGTCTGGCATAAATCCGGCCTTGCACAGGTGTGTGCTTGGGAAAGGGAGGACTTTGGGGACCCCCAGAGGCTCCTGGCCCCATTTTGAGGGCCGCTGCTGTTGGAGACAGGTCCGAGCATTGACTGTGTGTGGGGCGGGTACTTACAGGCTCCATGCCTGGGCTGAGAGCCACCCATGCTCTGTCCTGGAGCCCTTGTCACCCAAGGACTGGGAGAGCCTTCCTGCCCCCTTGGCATCTGGGCTGTTGGAAGGGGCGCTGGCGCAGGCCAGGCTGCCTCAGCCTCTCCCTCCCCTCCCAGCAGGAAGATGGCTACAAACTTCCTTGTGCACGAGAAGATCTGGTTCGACAAGTTCAAGTATGACGATGCAGAAAGGAAGTTCTACGAGCAGATGAACGGGCCTGCGGCTGGCTCCTCACGCCAGGTAGGGGCTGCGCCCCCGGCCTCGGGGGCCGAGTTGGCACCAGGAGGACAGGCACGTCCTACCCAGGGGCTCTGCTCCAGGTGCTGGTGGCGGGGTCTTTGGCGGGGTGGCCCTGGCTGGCTCCTGGGGTGCTGGCTCTGCTCCTGCCCCGGCGAGGGACAGCACGCCCACTCCGTCTCCCTGGCCTGGGCCGGGCCTGGCGTCACGGCCGCAGGACTCCGGCACCTCGCGCTCCTCGCTGCCCCGCTGAGCTCCCGCTCTGCACACCACTCTCTCCACATGAGGGTTCCTTTTTGTTTTTGGATATTAAATTTTTTTTAATGAAAGAAAAGACTGGTTCTTTCTGCACTTGTCTGCAGGAGAACGGCGCCAGCGTGATCCTCCGCGACATTGCGAGAGCTAGAGAGAACATCCAGAAATCCCTGGCCGGAGTGAGTACCGCGGCCGGGTGCCCGCGGCTTGCACTGGCGCCGCCCTCACGCCAAACGGCGCAGCTGACTTTTCCCCTAGTGCTGCTCGACATTTTGCCCTTAGAGCAGAGTCAGGGCGAGGTGTGCGGTGCTGTGTTCCTGCCAGGACACGGACCTGGGCCCAGGCCACCACAGGAGAGCCCTGCTCATCCTTGCCGTGCCTCTCACTTGCTCGCTGATGCTCACTGGGTCTCCCTCCTGCCCCGCCTGCTCCAGGGCGCACGCCTGCCGGCCGCTCCTTCCTGCTTGCTCCCCGCTAAGGAGCGCACCGAGGCTGGCGTCTGCCGCACGCCCGCCTCCCTCTCAGGCCTTGACCTCCCCAGACAGATGGTGGGTTCACAGGGTGTCGAGTTCGAATCAGAGAACTGGCCCAGCTCGGCTGCCAGGTCCCACACGGGGTCAGTCCATGGACAGGACCATGTCCAGCTCGGTCTCAGCCTGGCAGGGGGTTGTGTCCCTGGGAGGTGGCAGACCTGCTGTCCACCTTCCTGGCCATAGGAGCCAGGAGTTCATTCTCCCTCTGGGACGTGAGGTGTTCCGCCCTGATGGCTGTGTCGGCACAGCTGTGTTCCTTCTGGAGACCCCAGGAGACGGTCCGTTTCCTTGCTTTCTCCAACTCCAGGAAGCTGCCCACTGTCCTTGGCCTGTGGCTTCTGGCCAGCAGTGTTGGGACTCTGACGTCTGCTTCTGTGACGTGTCCTCTTTCTGCTTCTCACACGGACCCTTGTGATGACACTGGGCCTGCCTGGATAATCCAGGATCCTCTCCCATCTCCTCAGCTCTGCAAAGTCCCTTTCGCCATGGGCGATCGCTTTCTGCCTGCACAGCTGGTCCGGGTGTCCCCCAGGAAGCGTTGCCACTGCTGTGTGCTTGGCCCCTCCTTGTTCCTCCCGCTTGCCTTCCAACCGACCAGGGTCAGGCCGGGCAGACACGGGCCCTGCTGGCACGAGGTCCTCGTGGCCGGGGCTTAGCAGCTCGGGCTGCAGGCTCTTCCAAGACCGTCACCCATAGGGGTCGGCTGCCGGGTCCTGGTCTTTGGGGACAGCTGTGGCGTGCTTCTGGGGCTTGGGGACAGTGGGCTTGGGCAGCCGCAACAAAGCACCACAGGCCATGCAGCTTAAACAACAGACAGTCGTTCTCTTACAGTCTAGAAGTGGGGTCCCAGACCACGGCGTGGGTGGGGCTGGTTCCTCCTGCGGATGGTTGTTTTCCTGCTGCATCTTTATATCTTCTCTCTGTGTCTGCTGTATGGACGCCAGTCATTGGGTTGGGACCACCCTAATGGCTTCATAACTGGATCACCACCGTAAAGGCTCCGCCTCCAAATACATTTCCGTTTAGGGTGCTGGCAGAGGCTTCCACGTGGATGGTAGAGGAACACCGTTCATTTGGCCGCTGACAGGGACCCGGGGAGGACAGTGCTGACACAGCCCCAGGCTCGGGTTTGGGTGGAGTGCTCAGCAGATACTGGGACCTCAGAACCCAGAGGTCCCTGGGAACCAAGCTTGGTGCCAGGCACAGAGTGGGGGTGGGGTGGGGATGATGAGTCCCAGGTTCAAAGCCTTGGTGTGCAGCACTGCCCTGAGGCCACACGGTGGCTGCCTTCGGCTTGCCAGCGTGGGCTGTGAATGGACCTGTGAATGGACCAAGTGGCCTGGGCCCGCCTCACTGAGGCTGGGGCCCTGGGCTCCCTGCACCTGCCTGGGAATGAGTGGGGCGCAGTAGGTGGGCAGCCCCCGGGGCACCGGCTTCCTAGAGAGGCCAGATGGCTCTGCCTTGTGACAGGCAGTAGGCACAGCAGGGCAGAGGCTTGAGCTGCCACCAGGACTTGGCTCACTTGCCCGCTGGCCAGGCTGGGCCGGGCAAGCTGGAACGGGAGGATCTGGCCTTCACCCCTCAGTGGGAATGGCACTGAGAGCCACGTGCTGTGGGAGATGGGCTGGGGGTGCCATGTGCTGTGACACTGGTGACGGTGGCCCAGGGGGACCGCCTGGAGAGGGTGGGTCCAGCACAGCTCTCTGAGCTGCAGGTGGCAGTGTGGCATTTATTGACTCAAGTTGGTGGCTGGGGCTAGGCGAGCTGAGGAGAGGCATGTGAGCAGAGCATGTCCGGTTCCCAGCAGCTGCTCAGTGCCCCTTCCCCTGCCACACGTCACACGGTGCTCTGTGAGGAGTAAGCTAGTGGGGGCGGGTCACAGGAGACAGCGTCAGCCTTGCACTGCCCGCTGGCCTGTGACAGAGACCTGGGCACCTGGCAGCATGTCCATGGTCTGGGGTGTGCAGAGCAGTGGGGGAAGCCACATGGCTTGTCCTGTGGCTGCTTGGCAGGTGGGCCTCAAGCCCAATGTCTTTATTGTGATTGGACACTGGAGTGGGACAGTGGCCATCAGGAATAGGCCATGTGCACCCTGTCCTTAGAGCCATCCCACCGGGGTGTGGCTCGCCTGAGTGACCCCACGTGTGCATGTACATCCCTGGGTGGGATGCAGGCTTGAGCTGTGGTGCCCCTCAGGTGAGCTCCAGGAAGCACTGCGTGGTCAGGGGACAGGCCAGGCTTGGTTTCCTGTGTCCCCCAGAGCCCTCAGGGGTAGGCCTCGCGAACTGGACGGTGGGCGCGTGGCCCAGGGAGGCAAGGAGCTGTGCTGGCTGCTGCAGGGTGGCTGCCCCCTGCACAGGCATGATCCTTTCTCCTGCCCGCACCGGCCCCTCAGCTCTTTGCTGCAGGGTGGCTGCCCCCTGCACAGGCATGATCTTTTCTCCTGCCCCCACCGGCCCCTCAGCTGCTCCCCCTGCCCCGTTTCCAGCTCAAGGCAGGCTGCCCTGGGACTGAGTCCTCTGCTGTGGCCACTCTACTGCGCAGTGGCGGCCATGGCTCTGACTTCCTGCAGCCTCCATGCCAGGGCTGCCCTGGGCGCTCTGCTTTCTGCTCTCCTCAGTGTCACCATGCCATGGCCTCATGCTCACAGGGCTCTTGTCCCTCTCCTGGGTGGAGGATGGCAGGTAGACCCCGCGGGCTGACAGGAGCCGCTGTCTGCCGTCGCCCATGCCTCCCTCCCAGCTCAGGGCTGTGACTGGGGCCTTGGAGCAGGCAGGAGTGCTCAGCTCTCACTCCCCCTGCCTCGCAGAGCTCGGGCTCCGGAGCCTCCAGCGGGCCTGGCGGAGACCACAGTGAGCTCATCACCCGGATCGCGAGCCTGGAGGTGGAGAACCAGAGCCTGCGAGGCGGTGAGGCCCCAGCCCCGGCCCCGGCAGTGGTTCCCATCCCAGCCCTGCTGTCTGACCAGCGTCTCCTTTGCTTCCATAGTGGTGCAGGATCTGCAGCGGGCCGTCTCCAAGCTGGAGGCTCGGCTGAGCGTGCTGGAGAGAAGCTCACCTGCCCACCGGGCCGCAGCCCCACAGACCCAGGTGAGCGCGTGCCTGCCCTGGCCTGGTCCTGCGGGGCAGCGGCGAGAGCCGGCCACCTGGGCCCCCGTGTCCTCCAGGCCCACCAGCCAGGGCGCGTGGGTCTCAGCCTCCCCTCCCCTCCGGTAGCACGTGTCTCCCATGCGCCAAGTGGAGCCCCCCAAGAAAGTGGCCACCGCTGCGGAGGATGACGAGGACGACGACATTGACTTGTTCGGCAGCGACGAGGAGGATGACAAGGAGGCGGCCCGGCTGCGGGAGGAGAGGCTGCGGCAGTACGCGGAGAAGAAGGCCAAGAAGCCCGCGCTGGTGGCCAAGTCCTCCATCCTCCTGGACGTCAAGCCCGTGAGTGGCCCGCCTCTGACCCCCACCCTGGGGTCCTGGTGGGGCCGAGCTGAGCTCGGAACCGTGGGCCAAGAGGAGAAAAGGAGCAGCGGGGCAGGAGCAAGTTCGGGCTGCTTAGGGGCCAGGAAGCACTGTGCGCTCCGCTCCACCGGGCTCCTGACCCCATCCTGTCCCTCCCTTACCCCCAGTGGGACGACGAGACGGACATGGCCCAGCTGGAGGCCTGCGTGCGCTCCGTCCAGCTGGACGGGCTGACCTGGGGGGCCTCCAAGCTGGTGCCCGTGGGTTACGGCATCCGCAAGCTACAGATCCAGTGTGTGGTGGAGGACGACAAGGTGGGGACGGACATGCTGGAAGAAGAGATCACCAAGTTCGAGGAGCATGTGAGTGGGCGGGCCCACAGGAGGGGGTAGGGCTGCAGGGGGCAGGTGCAGGTGGGCCTTGGGGGACGCCCATGTGACCGCCATCCTCCTCTCCCCAGGTGCAGAGTGTTGACATAGCTGCCTTCAACAAGATCTGAGCCCTGGCACTGGGCCTGGGTGGCGAGACCCTGCAGCCATTAAAGACTTGAGATTCTGGCTTTCTGGCTCCTGTCGTGGTCTGGGCCCTGTGGGCGGGTGGCATTCAGTGAGCCACACTCTTCCAGGCCTCAGTGGCTGTGTGATCTCACCTTTCTGCCCGACCCTCTTGTTCCCTCTCGGCGGCCCCCCTGTCTTCACTTGCCTGTCATGCCATGTCCATTTCAAGTTGTCGAAGCCAGGGACAGAGCACGCCCGGGCTCCTTCACCGTAGGGGTCTTTGGAGGCCCAAGAGACACCCCAGCCTCTACTCTCCACTCCACTCCCTGTCGGCTATTCCCAGCTGAGCAAAAGTTTCAGCCTGCAGCTGTGCAGGAAGGTCCCAGCAGCCAGCCTGACCCTGCTACTGTGACCATAGTCACATGTCCCACCAGCTTGGAACTGTGTGAGACCTGGCACCTCAGACTCTAGGAAGACCAGGCTGCTGTGGTCTCCTGAGGCCCCTGTGGCCCTGGGCCTCTGCTCCAGTCCTGCAGGGGGCGCGCGGCGCCTCCCGGGTGCACGTGACAAACTGCCCAGGGTTCTTCATACCCCTCTCCCCCAGCCCTGTCTAGGTGGTACTTGCACGCACCATTTACGGTTCCTTCCCTGGACGACTGGCCAGCGCAGCTGGTGAGACAGTCGCTCTTGGGATTTGTGAAAGGTGTAGGCTGCCGCCCTAGTCAGAGCTGGTGTGCTCCAGGCCCCTTGGTGGTGGGGACCCTGGAGGTTCCCGTCAGTTTTGTGGGGCTTCCGTGCGGCTTGGGTTGCAGGACCCTAAAGCCTTGGAGCCAGCTAGGGGTGGCACTAGGCTCACTGATGCCAATCATACCGTGGGCCCCACCCAAGTGTCCTTGCTGACTTCTGAATCGCCTGGCCCTAGGCCTGGGTGGGGCCAAAATCTAGCTGGAGGTGGAATCACCACGCCTTCTGTGCCCGCGGCCAGGGGGCGGGGCCAGGCGGGGACCGTCCCCCAAGCAGCTGGCAGGAGCTGGAAAGACCTGGGAGTGCGGCTAGACCCGACACGTGCCGCCTGGGGCCGGCCACTGGGACCCCTCTGTGTCCGCAAGCCGGCAGACCGCCCTCCACCCCCCGCCCATTCTAGCTGTCGGGAAAGGCGGTTGCTCCCCCGGTGACCGCCCCCTGCGGGCTCCCGTTTCCCGGAGTGTCTTGCATAAGCTGGCCCTGGGCACCGGCCATTGGGGAGCACGGTGTCACGTGGGCCCGGGAGGGAGGCCGGGGCGAGATGGCGGCGGAGCAGGATCCCGAAGAGCGCGCGGCGGCGCGGCCGCTGCTCACCGACCTCTACCAGGTCACCATGGCGCTGGGCTACTGGCGCGCGGGCCGGGCGCGCGACCCCGCCGAGTTCGAGCTCTTCTTCCGCCACTGCCCTTTCGGCGGCGCCTTCGCTCTGGCCGCGGGACTGCGCGACTGTGTGCGCTTCCTGCGCACCTTCCGCCTGCGGGACGCAGGTACCCCCAGGGCCCCTCGTCCCCGCCAGGGGCCCCACCAACCCGACGCGACCCTTCCCTTCCCGCGACCCGACGAGCCGTCTCCCCCACGAGCGCGCTCGCCCCAGCCCACGCGGGCCTCTGTCGCCCCCAGACGTGCAGTTCCTGGCCTCGGTGCTGCCCCCAGACACTGACCCCGCGTTCTTCGAGCACCTCCGCGCCCTGGATTGCTCCGGGGTGACGGTGCGGGCCCTGCCTGAGGGCTCCCTCGCCTTCCCCGGCGTGAGTGCGGGCTGAGCAGAGCGCAGGGGCGGGCCTGAGTGGGGCCGGGCGGCGCCCAGCTGACACCCTCCCCGCAGGTGCCGCTGCTGCAGGTGTCCGGGCCACTCCTGGTGGTGCAGCTGCTGGAGACGCCGCTCCTCTGCCTGGTCGGCTACGCCAGGTGGGGCCGACCGGCCGGGGGCGCCACTGAGCGGGGGCGCAGGCTCGCGGGGGGCCGGCCCTTGCGGGCGTGGGCGTGGCCCCGTGCGCCTGAGTCCGAGCTCCGTGGGCGGGACGCAGGGTCTGGAAGAGGGCGCGAGGCTCCGGGGGCCTCGTGACCTTCACCGCAGGTGCGCTGACCTCTTTATCTCCACAGCCTCATCTCCACCAACGCCGCGCGGCTTCGCCTGATTGCGGGGCCAGAGAAACGGCTGCTGGAGATGGGGCTGCGGCGCGCTCAGGGCCCGGACGGGGGTCTCACGGCCTCCACCTACAGCTACCTGGGGGGTGAGCGCCTGGGAAGCGAGGCGAAGAGGGGAGGGCCTGCCCAGAGCCCCCCTCCCCACCGCCTGAAGCTCTCCGCCCCTGCCTGATGCTCTGGCCTAGGGTTCGATGGCAGCAGCAACGTGCTCGCAGGGCAGCTGCGCGGCGTGCCCGTGGCGGGAACCCTGGCACATTCCTTCGTCACTGCCTTCTCAGGCACTGAGGTGCCCCCTGACCCGGTCAGTACCCTTCTCCAGCTGCACCCTAGAGGGCAGACCCCAAGGCCAGCCCTCGCCTGGGGGAGGGGTGGGCCAGTCCCCACTCAGAAGCCACGTCTCGGGCAGGTAGGGCAGCGCTGCACCGGCAGCTGGCAGGGGGGTGGCATCACCCCGGCTCAGACCCGCCACCTGGGGTGAGCCAGGCCCCACGCTGCACTCTGGGTCCCTCATCCTTCACCAACCCCTTGCCCTAGATGTTGGCTCCAGCTGCTGGTCAGGGCCCCAGGGTGGACCTGGCCGCCTGTGTGGAGGTGTGGCTGGAGCGTGTTTGTGCCTACATGGGGCTGGGGGTGCAGGAGCCGCACCCGGGGGAGCGGGCGGCCTTCGTGGCCTATGCTCTGGCCTTTCCTCGGGCCTTCCAGGGCCTGCTGGACACCTACAGTGTGAGGAGGTGAGGCCTGGGCACCACCTGGGGGGCTCAGCACAGCAGCTGCAGCCCCCCCACCCCCTGGTCTCTGCTCACAGGAGTGGGCTTCCCAACTTCTTGGCTGTCGCTCTGGCTCTGGGGGAGCTGGGCTACCATGCGGTGGGCGTGAGGCTGGACAGCGGTGACCTGCTTCAGCAGGCCCAGGAGATCCGTGGGCTCTTCAGGACCACTGCGGCCCAGTGAGCCCCCCGGGAGGGGCTTGGCCTGCTGAGGGACCCCCTCTGGGGCAGGAGTATCAGGGTGGGGCAGAGGGAGGGAGGGAGGGACGGACACACGGAGCAGCCCTCAGTGGCGAAGTTGTGGCACTGGTCGGGAGGCCAGGGCAGACTACCCGTGGGTGGGGGATGGAGGGAGTCTGGGCGAATCGAGAACTTCTGAGGGCCTGCTCCCCACTACAGGTTCCAGGTGCCCTGGCTGGAGTCCATCCCCATTGCTGTCAGCAACAACATTGATGAGGGGGAGCTGGCCCGCCTGGCCCAAAAGGTGGGGTGGGGCGGGGCGGCAGAAGGTGCCTGGGGGGGGCCTGTGCCTGAAGATGCTGCCCGAGCTCCCCCTCTTGTCTCCCCCTCCAGGGCAGTGAGGTGAACGTCATCGGCATTGGCACCAGCGTGGTCACCTGCCCCGGCCAGCCTTCCCTGGGCTGCGTCTACAAGGTGGAGACAGGGCCTCCAGTGGGGGTGCGGGCCGGGGTACCAAGGGCCCAGCTCTCTCAACACCCTGTCACTGCAGCTGGTGTCTGTGGGAGGCCAGCCACGAATGAAGCTGACCGAGGACCCCGAGAAGCAGACACTGCCTGGGAGCAAGGCCGCCTTCCGGCTCCTAGGCTCTGACGGTGAGGCCCTCCCACCCCTCCGTGGTCCCCCTCAAGGCCCCAGGCCCTACATTATTCTTGGTGCCCTTCCCCCCACGCACAGGGTCTCCACTGTTGGACGTGCTGCAGTTGGCGGAGGAGCCACCACCCCAGGCTGGCCAGGACCTGAAGGTCTGGCCTCGAGGGGCCCAGGAGCCCTGTATTGTGAGGCCAGCCCATGTGCAGTCACTGCTGCGACTCTGGGTCCAGCAGGGACAGGTGACCAGCCCTGCGTACCCTCTCAGTCTGCACCTGCAAAATCGAGCCTTGACCACTGTGTGAGCCAACCCCTTCCTTCCCCCTTCTCCCCAGCTGTGTGAGCCTCTCCCACCTCTGGCTGAATCTAGAGCGTTAGCCCAGCTGTCTCTGAGCCAGCTCGGCCCCACACGCAGGCGGCTAGAGCAGCCGGAGCTGTACCAGGTGCGTGGAAGACCCCGGTTAGCACCCCACCCGCCCTGTGTTCTCTGTGCCCACGGCCACCCACCGTCCCCTCCTCTCCTCCCTGCAGGTGGCGCTGTCCGAGAAGCTGCAGGCCCTGGTGGAAAGGCTGAAGGCTCCAGGACCCCAGTGAGAGCCTCATGGTGGGGCTGCCTGAAATTAACATGAGTTGCTCACTACCCCCAACTTGTCACGTGTCATTTCTGCACCCAGCCTGCTACTCGCCAAGCCCCAGGGCCTCCCGGGTGGGCTGGAGTTGGGAATCAAGAATGAGGGTTCATGTCGCCAGGAAAGCCTAGGCTCCTCTAGCATGGGGAGGCAGCCCTGTGCTGGGGCCCGAGGGTGGCCAGGAGCGTCCAAGCTCAGGAAGCTGGATGTTAGGGGCGGATCTGAGGCTGGAGAGGGCAGGGCTGCGGGGAAGCGTGGACTTCGATGACCAGCCGGGAAATTACTGCGGAAGGCCTCTGCCTGCTAGAGGCTCAGCAGCAGAGGCCATGGGGCGGGGATGAGGTGGCTGACTAAGGGTCTCAGAGCCTCCTGTGTCTGAGCATGGCTCCAGCCTCCCACACCTGCCAAGGGCACTGTCCTAGGCTCAGGACAAGAGGACACCTCAAGTTTCCCAAGCGAGGAGAAGCCTAGCTGCCGCTGCCAACCCCAAACAGCTCTGCCTTAGAGGCCATTTCCCTGGAGGCCTCCCATCTGGCCCTCCAGACCCTGGCATTGTCGCGGGGCCAGCCAGGCCCAGGCCTTGGGGACTCTGCTCCCAACCCAGCAGCCCTGGAAAGGGAGAGGAGAAAGGCAGGGGCCTGCATTAGAGCCAGTGAAGAAGTTGATGGCCAGGTGGTGGCTCAGCTCTGGGCACCTGGCCAGCAGTCCTGGGCTGGCCTTGGCTCTGCCGGCAAGCTCGTCAGATCTGCCCTGGCTTTGGAACTCGGGCTGCAGAGGAAGTGCTCAGGACAGATTCCAGGCTCTGGGCGACAGGGTGGGGAACCCGGGCCTCTCCCGTCGGTGGCAGGAGGTGGCATAGGCAGCCGAGGGCACGGTGGAATGCTGGCTGTCAGGGTGCTAACCGGAGCACTTCCGCTTGCCCAGGTATTTGGTCCAACCGGCTCTCCTGGCTTCCTGGGGTCAGCCTGGGCAGCGCCTCCTGTGTCGCTGGGTTAAGGTGACGAGTGGGGATTTAGGGCAGAGGCCAGGTCAGGCCAGCCCTGGAGAGCGTGAGGCTTGGACACACATGCGTGCGCTTGCTCATGCCAGAAACGGCTCCCAAGTTCCCACAGGTCACAACTTCTCAGCTGTGTGCTCACTTGCTAGGTGCCAGGAATCCTGGGTCCAGCACTGGGCGGAGGCACGCCTCAGAGCTGTCCAGGACCAGAAGGCCCAGCCCAACAGTGGCACGGCCGTCTCCTGGGGGAGCCCAGGAAGAGGCAGGTGCAGCCTCTCTGCCTCCCTTGCTCTGCTCCACGGGTGCCCCAGCTCAGAGGTGGTGACAGCTCTCCCAGTCGCCCCTATCCCCAGAATGTCTAGCTAGGTTGGAATGCCGTGGGGACAGCCCAGCCCCTGGCCCCAGGCCCAGCCTGAACTAGACTGGTTTAGAGCTGAATCAGCCCAGGACTCATCTCGGGGCTGGGCCCGGACTTGATCCTGCTGGGAACTCCCCAGGGCTGTCTACACTTGCCCTGATACCCCTGCCCAGAGGGGTTGGAGGTCAGGGTCAAGAGCCCTCTTCCCCTCCCCTCGCAGACTCACCATCTCCTGGGAGTCTTGCTCCTTCTGCAGAGCCAGAGCCAGACCCCAGATACTCAGGCTTCAGACACCTGGGCAGGAGCACCGGAGGGCCTCTCATAAGCCCCCAGTGGGCATCATGTCTGGGGACACCTCTGTATGGCTCCCAACACCCCCTACAGAATGTGTTCTCTGTCTCTGCCTCTGTCTCTCTCTCTCTCTCACACACACACACACACACACACACACCCCTTTCCTTGGGCCCGCCCCTCCAGGGCTGCTTCTAGGTCAGGCCTGGGCACACCTTTCTGGGGGGACCAGAGGCAGGCGCTGTGTGCGGCCGCCATGGCTGGGGGTGTGTGGGGCCGAGCCCGTGGGGCCCCTGTGGGGGCCCTGACCCTGACAGCTCTGGCTGAAGGGATACGGGCCAGCCAGGGACAGCCCGTGAGACCCCCTCCCAAAGGCCCACAGCCTGAACCTGAGCCAGGACCCGAGGCAGAGCCTGGGAATATAACCTCCGTCCCGGCAGCTGCCCCTGAACCCTGCTCCCCGCCCCGTGAGCAGGAGCCAGCCTCGGAGAGACCCCATCAGGTGAGTGGGAGGGAACAGGCCTGGGGGACAGGATGGGGAGGGGACCTGGGAGAGGGCCAGGGGAGGAGAGCTGGGGCAGGCCCAAGATGTCATTCACTCTGTCCCCCCTGCCCTAGGTCCCCCAGAGTTCCTGGGAGGAGGGGCCCCTCGCAGACCTGGCATTGTACACGGCTGCCTGCGTGGAAGAGGCTGGCTTCATGGGGACACAGGCGACAGCACTCACCCTGTCCTCAGCCCTGGAAGCCCGGGGGGAGCGGCTGGAGGACCAGGTCAGCCCCCATCCCCTTCCTGCCCGGGAACTCCTGCCGGTGCTTCCGAGGTGGGGGTTGGGGCGGGAAGCCTGGCACACGCCTTTTTCAGGCTGCACCTGCCTGTGGGGTACAGAAGATAGAGTCTGGGGTTCAAGGAAGCCTGACCGCCAGCGCCTGCCTCTCTACACCAGGTGCGCGCCCTGGTGCTCGGCCTGCTGGCACAGGTGCCCAGCCTGGCCGAGGGGAGGCCCCGCCAGGCAGCCCTGCGGGTGCTGAGCGCGTTGGCTCTGGAGCACGCACAGGACGTGGTGCGTGCACTGCTGCCCTGCTCACTGCCTCCGGACCGGTAACCCGTCCTTACCCACCCCTGGGGCCGTATTCCCGCTGTCCCCACTGTATTCCTTCCCCCTCCCTGCTTGGCAGTGGAGTCCGGCCCCAGTGAGGCGGGCATGGATGGAGCAGAACCTCTGAATTCCCCCCCCAACTCCTGCCCCCTCCATTTCCTCACCCCTCCCACCTCGGGGTCCTCGTCCTGGGTTCCTGGTGTGGGGCCTACCAGCCTGGGGGTGTGCTCCAAGGCGGGGTGAGCAAGCCAGGTGGCTTCTGTGCCCCGGTGCCCCTGACTCCTTAGTTTGATCCACCCTAGGAGAAGTGACCTGGTTTTATTTTCTACGTGACCGTTGATCATGACAGGTTCATTTCACTGTCACCAGTCCGCACCAGGCCGCTGGGCCTGTGGCCCCTGCCCGGTTCCGGTCTGCACAGATGCTGCTCATTTTACTTCTCTGGGATTGGCGGGGCGGCGGGGGGGTGTGGGTGGAGGGGAGGTGTGCAGTGCGCCCCAAGCTGCCTCCACTCTGACCTGGGGTCTCCCGCCACCCCAGCATGGGACCCTGGGTCAGGCACCTGCACCCCCAGGGCGGCGGCCGAGCTGTGGAGCAGTCTGGGCCGGAACCAGCGTGTGAATGGGCAGGTGCTGCTGCAGCTGCTCTGGGTGCTAAAGGGCACAGCTGGACTTGAGCTGGAGGCACTGGCTGTAGGTGACCCAGCCAGCCCTGCCAGGGGACACCCCCACCCCCTGCCCAAGGGGGCGGGCCAGTTGGGACACAGGGGGCAGGGGCAGCAGGGTTTCGCCCGAGTCACGCGCATCCGTCGTGTCCTTCAAGCGTCTGAGGCTTTGTCCCTGTTCGGTGTGCAGTGCACCCCAAGCTGAGTGCCTTGCTTGTTCCCTAGGCCACCTGCGCCCTTGGGGAGATGCTGGCTGTGTCCGGCTGTGTGGGTGCTACGCGGGGCTTCTACCCACACCTCCTCCTCACGCTGGTCACACAGCTGCACAGGCTGGCCCGGGGTGCACACTCCCCTGACACCCCTAAGATCTGGGCCCCATCCCAACGAGGGCCACCGCACAGCCACGCCAGGTGAGGGGGTCACAGCGGGGGAAGCGAGGGCGGGACCAGTGCCCTCACTGCCCTCACCGCTGTGCCCCCCCAGCTGCACCGTGGACGCCCTGAAGGCTCTGCTTACCGGGGATGGAGCCCGCATGGTGGTCACCTGCATGGAGCAGGCTGGAGGCTGGAGGAGGCTGGCGGCGGCCCACACCCACCTGGAGGGCGTCCTGCTGCTGGCCAGGTGCTGGGGAGGGGGGGAAAGGGAGGGAGGGGCGCGAGGGTGGTCGTGTGGGAGCTTCTGGGGGGGGGGTGAGGCTATAAGCCGGGGGCAGAGCTGCCAATTCTCCCCACCCCAGCGCCATGGTGGCCCACGCAGACCACCACCTGCGAGGCCTGTTCGCTGAGCTGCTCTCCCGGCTGTGCAGCGCGGACGAGGCGCAGCGCCTCACCGCCATGGCCTTCTTCACCGGGGTGAGCCTGCTTCTGGCACGGGTGGTGAGGGGCGGCTGTGGACCTGGCCCTAAGCAGCGCTGCCTTCGCTGAGACCGGAGCGTGCTGAGCCCGTGTCACCCGCTCAGCTGTTGCAGAGCGGGCCCACCGCGCGGCTCCTGCGGGAGGAGGGCATCCTGGAGCGGCTGCGGGCCTGGCAGCACGACCCTGAGCCCACTGTGCCCTGGCTGGGCCTGCTGGGCCTCGGCCACCTCGCGCTGAACAACGGGAAGGTGAGGGGCTGCGCCGGGCGGCACCGGGCGGGAGCGGGCGGGGTCTGCGAACAGATGCCCACGATCCCTGCCCACGACCCCTGACCCCGCAGGCGC